ATACCTTTATCTTACTTATTTATATATGGTGCTGAGGATTGAACTCAGTGAGTGCCTCACATATGCTAGGCAAGCTACCACTAAGCTACAACCTTATCCTATGTAGAGTTTTTTCTTTTTTGGTTCTGGGGATTGAACTCAGTGGCACTCAACCACTGAGCCACATCCCCAACCCTATTTTGTATTTTTATTTTAGAGAAAGGTTCTCACTGAGTTGTTTAGAGGGCCTCACCATTGCTGAGGCTGGCCTTGAACTCACAATCCTCCTGTCTCAGCCTCACAAACTGCTGGGATTACAGGTTTGTGCTACCATGCCTGGCTGTCTAGGAGTTTTTAAAGGCATATCTGATGACACAGTACAGGTGATTGGTGGGATGAGGAATGCTAGCATGAACCATTCAAGTTCTCTGAACTCCCAGCTTAATAAGTCAATCAAAACTACATGATTTTAATCCCTTGTTAAATAATTAAGAGTACGGGTCTTAACTGGTGTTTTTTGATATGTCTGTTAGAAAAAAGAAGCATTTGGGTAGGGAGTCTGCTTGTGGTCGGCCATTGCTAGGGGTAAGGGCAAGGGTAACGAAGGAAAGGCTGCTATGGTTGCAGCTGTGAGGAACAGAAGTAGGTATTCTAGGTCAGCAGGAGGCATTATGGTTAACACTGGCAGGGAGTAGCAAGTTGCAGGATGTCTTTCAGACCCAAGTTTTCCTTTCAGGTTGGCATGATGTTCCCTTCCCTCCTGTTCTTCAAGGCCCTCATCCTGGCTGCCCATGGGTGATCGATCTTCCTGCTTCAATAATAATACTACCTACCTCCAGGCTATTTTTATAAAAATTAAATGAGATCACTTTTAGCATTATGCGTTGTTATGGACTCAAGGTGGAAGTCCTAATTTTCATTATTATTATGGAGAAAAGCATCAAAGACCTAAGCAGTCTTGTAGGACTCCAAGAGCAAGACTGGCTTGTGAAGTCAGTGAAGTTTTCAGTACAATAAGGTGTCCCCAAACAATATACTCAAATGATTGGAACCGTTAGCAAAGCAGTATTGGAATATACAGCTACCTATATTTCTGCCCACAAGTGAATGTGAATCTATTCTGCTGTGTTTTACATTACATGGTCTGTGTTACAGGGTCCAAAGATATAAAACTGTACTGTTCATAATGGATTGCAGGAGGTGCGGTTTTTTAAAGCTTTAAATGAAAATTTGTACAATATATTAGCTTTAAATTAGTAACCAATCATGAAGTTACATAATTGTATTCTTGCAAATGTTTTAATATCTGAGTAATAGCTTTTTAAGACCATACTTTTTTAGCCATGTGAGTAAAACCCAGAGTTTTGAGCAGTTTATTCTGTTATTCTTTTTAAAGAATTCTTCATTTAAACCCATCCCCACCTTTTCATTCTTCTTCCCTTAAAATGTTACATGAATATATGTATCTAGCAATCTATAATCTACTCTTTTCTTTGTCAGCAAGTTATATTTGTATTATTTCTACTTGAAAATGGAAAAAAGAATATAGGCAATTTTTATCAGAGAATGCACAAGAGGCAGTACCAAATACATTAAGGTGATAATGGTCAGCAATAGATCAATTTAATGAGAGGGAAATATAGAAACTGAACATCCCCTGTAGTTAAATTGTCCTTTTGATGACTTTTGAATGTATATTCATCCTTTAAAACACAGTTCAACATAAGTTCTTTGGAAAGTCTTCCTAGACTTTTCCACGCAGTTAAAATACTTCCTCTGAATTATTTCTGTGCTTTCATCTTCTATGATTACATGCATAATATGGTTGGTCTTCTGCCCCACCATTCTGAGGATTACGTCGCAATCAATTTTGTGGCTGGAGTGTCTAGCAGGGTCTGCCCCTAAAGGTGCTTAATTGTCTGCTCACCTGAATTAAACTAGGGAAAAGTACAACTGAACACAGCAATAGATTTCAAGTTTAAGATGTAAAAGCTACCTTTTCATTTTTAACACTATGCACTTTAAGGTAGTAGGTTTATTTGTTTGGCATATAAAATTGTCCAGAAAGAACTAATAATAGACTATTTTATTCTTACACAAAGTACCCAGTAATTCTTGTAGAATTGGAAACCCTACCTTCAGGCCCTAAATCAAATATAATTTTTTCCAAGACACCTTTTCTAACAAATCTAGCTGATATTAATCTCCTCTTATCTCCTTTCCATACCTTTTCTTCTTCTTACTATGCATTTGATGCTTGATTACATTAAAATAAGCTATGATTATACACTCATATAATTTTTTAAATGTTTGTAAATTACTTCTTTCTCCAGCTAAGGGCAGGATCCATGAAATATTTTTTGTCATGTGTTAATGGAATATATTCTTTATAGAGCATACCAAATTGAGCATATATTGAATGTTTAACCAAGTACTAACTAAATGAATAAAATGAATCTAAGAACGGTTTTTAAGAAATACTAATATTCTTGTCATAGTAAATGGACAAGCACGAGAACTTGATCTTATTGGAACGTTGTATGAAAAGTAAAATCCTAAAATCAAGAAAGGTAGCAATGGACCTAACCAGAATTTTTTTATTATAATGTGCTGCATCCTATAATGTGAAAATTCCTCAATAAATTTGTCAGTAAATATAACAGCCCAACAACACTCACAAAGTTGATTAACTCTTCTGTTATTCATTAGAATTATGACAGATGACATTAAGTTAACATGTTTTAGCATATAGCAGGTGTCAGAACTGTGTTCGGTGCAATTCATGTTTTAATTCCTGTAATTCCCATAATAACTTTATTAAATAAATAATATTATTATATTCACATGCCAAATGGTGAAGCTGAAGTTTAATCCTAGGCAGTTTGGTTCTGAACTTAATGGCTAATGATTATCAAGCTAAGCTAGTATCTCAGATGTGGTGATTGATATTTTTCAATAAAATTATACAAGCCTAAACGGATGAAGAATTCTAACAAGCATTTAAAAAATAAATTGAGTAAATTAATGCCAGTCATATACAGAAACAATGAGGAATTTTTAACACCATATTCTACATTAACTGAAACTTAGTAAAGATATGCTGTGCAATTCAACATTCTGTAAACTAAATAGGACAAGGAGAATCTTGGTTAATTTGGATGGGAACTTGAAGGATAGATTAAATATAAAAAATATGCATCCTTCAATAAAGATGGGCAAATGAAAGAGCAAATTCTTTCATTATTTACTTAAACCAAGTATTCTGTCAATAATGTTATATGCTAAGAGTAGTGTATTTAGGGGGAGAGAGGTAGAGATAGATGTAGAAGTAGAAATATATACAGACAAAGGGAAGGTAGAAAAGAGAGGGGACAGGAAGAAACTTTTTGATTTCTTGCTTTTATAGTTTCGAACTTCAAAAACAGTATTTATACAGAGATTGACTAAAGTCTTAAGTTATGGAATGCCCTCTCAGTAGCAATAATCATTATATAAAAATATGAAGACAATAGCTAGACCATAGAAACAATATACACGGACATAGCCACACATAATACATAGTAATTCCTTTTATATCCATGAGTCTAACAAAATCTTACACAATAATCAATTCATGATTTTATTAAGCATATGCATGTGACACAAATTTTGGAAAGATTTTCACAAAATAAAAGCTGAGGTTACTGCTTTAATTTCTAATTAAGTTTTAACCAAGAATTTACATATGCATCATCAAAACTATGGTTTAAAATGAAAGGCTGACAATTGAGATAATAGATTCTTTAAAGCTCTTTTGTTAACTGTTATTTGTGTTACGTAAAATGTTTATTTTAGTTTTTTCTAGTGCAATATAAATAAGAAATATGCTGTATGGTAATCTCTCTAGGTCAGGTACAAAGTCTAGGAAAATTCAATTTTTAATGTGCAAAGAAGGAATGTTCTTTATCATTTTGAAATTGGCTTTTGAAAATGTTTTCAATGGCGAGCAGACTTGAATATACGGATTGCAGGTCCTGCATATCTTAAACTTAGGCTTAATAAACTTATATAATAAACTTAATAAAACAATAAGACAATGTATACTTTTCCATTTATTATTATGTAAGAATAAGCAAAATAAAACACAAGTTCCATTTTCTTATCTAAGGACAGAAAATACCAATGCGTCCTTGGATCTGTGTTTGTAATAAAGGAAGAATAGCCTGACTAGACTTTTTTTTTTTTTATTTCCCAACATTTAAAAATATGTTTGTGTGCAATGGCGGCACCTCGGCTTCTGGAATGATTTTTACTTTTCTAAAAGTCTGAACTAATCAATTCAGTTCACATCAGTATATATGTACTTATATGAGGTCATATGTCTATGCCTATCTATTCAGAATACAATGTTCATCAGGCTCTGAGGATAAACTTCAACTTTAATTAGACTTGCCTGGTTCTCATGAAGCCCATAATCTACTGTTGGACACCTAAATATTTTCGGCCTCTAGGGTCTGAGGCGCCACAGGAAGGCTGCTCCAGCAGGTCCTGGGCAAAGTTGCTTCCTGGCCTAGACGCCAAGTTGGCAAGGATATATTGCTGGCAAACACAGATTAGTCAGAATAAAGTCGCCACAGACTCAACCAAGCAAAACATAAATGGCTCTTTCAGCACAAGCCCCAAAGGAGGGATGTTACTACGCCCAGCAACCCAATATACTTTTCCTAGGATCCCCAAACCCACGTTTTCTGACGCTTTCCGTTTCTTGTGGCCCAGAATTGACGCCTGAGTTGGCGGCAACACAGGTGTCTACTCACGTAAGCCTCCCCTCCCATCTTTCTCCTATCTCCTCCACCCACTAGTCCAAGAGCAACTTTTTAATTTGTTGGGGAGGTGTGTCACAGGATGACGAGAAGGTGAGAGAAGGCGCACTACCAACACGCGGAGCTCCCTGCGTGCACGTGATGAAAAAAAGGCGGGCGCGGGGACCAGCCGGGTGGTGGCGAGAGGATTCAGGATCATCTGGTAGGGGGAGACAGGAGGCGGGGCCGCGTGTGCCAGTCCTAGAGCTAGCAGCTTCTGCGCGTCGGGAGAGCTCACCAGCGTCCCAGCCTGTTGGCCAACAGCCACCCCACAGGCGAAAACCTTGGTTCCTGGTCTCTGACTCTTGCCCAGATTGCGAGCGCGTGGCACCAAGCGCGTCCTCATCCATGTCCCGGCTGGGTGAGCTAGAGGTGCTCGAAACCCGGGGCGTGTGATGAGAGGCTGAGGGCGCGGCGGCCCCTGTCGTGTCCCGCTGAACCAGGCGCGGGAGGACCGGGAGCGCTCCAGCTCGGCTCGCGGCGCGCGGGGCGGGGCGCGGCTGGGGGGCCCCGGCCACACGAGGGGAGCTGCCGAGGAGCAGGCGCGCTGCGGCCCCTAGAGAGGGCACGGTTAAAGTATTGCCATCAACTGTGAGCCCCGAGAGCCCGTCTAAAGCCCACACGCGAACTCTGCAGCCTCCCTCACGCCCCCGTGCCACCAAAGGCGGCGACACCTGATCCAGCTCACAAACACGGGTCCCTTCGGTCCCGGATACGATTACGCTGCACAGGCACACTCAAACTCACGCGCAGCAGCCTAGGGAAGAGGTAAGAGGAGGGACTTCAGCGTTCCAGCAGGGGAACGGGGGCGGGCGGAGGAGAGGAGCGTTGTTGGCTCCCTGAGGTAAGTGCCCGGCAACTCCCAGCGATCCAGAGGCAGGGGATAGGAATCGGAAAGTGCGGATGGGGAGTTAGGAATGGGTAGTGGATGTGGGGGTAGGGTAAAGGAGATATTTCCAGGCTGCCCCCAGGGGCGCCCTCAGTCTCTTCGCTCCCGGCGGCACCGGTTCGAGGGTCCTCTGGCGTTCTCGTGCGCTAGAGGAGGGTGGGGATAATAGGGCGCGGATCCAGCCCAGGACCTTGTACTTGACCCAGGAGGGATGGGCACGGAGGATCTTCTGGGCAGGAGTGCGGGACTAGGTGCTTCGGGACCTCTCCAACTCTCCTTTACTCCGTTTTTCCCCTAAGGGGAACTTGAGCAGGCGCTATTGGGGGTTGGGGGTGGGAAATGTCTCGGGCAGTACACACAGGCGGGGACCTTTCTGCGACCGCCAGTGTCCGCATGCCCGTGCGACCCCAGAAGTGGACTAAGGTGGCTGGGTCGTCTTGCATTTGAGAAGCTTGTGCGTGCGTGCGTGCGTGTGTGTGTGTGTGTTGCGGGGGTGGGGAGGTTAAAGAAGAGGCGAGCGGGTTAAAGAGGAGGTGAGCGGCGGCGAGAGGATGGAGAGAAGGACGCGCTGTAATTGGAGAAGGGCGCCTTCCATGGGCTGGAGGAGCGACGAGGGGCCCAGGGATGTGTGGTTTGGAGTTGTAGGAGGCAAACCGCATGCATCGAAGAGAGCCAGCATTTGCTGTGCGTCCGGGCAAAAGGATGAGGTGGCGGGATCGGGTACCTAAACAGTACGTGCCAACTCACTGGCTTAATTGTGGTTTTATAAAGTTGGGTATGGTGAACATGGCACCATGCAGCCGTTTCTGAGGGTTCCCATCACCTTTTAGCACACCAGAGGGCAGGGAGGAGAGAAGATGGAGAATTCCTCAGAGTCCCAGAAACTAATGCAGAAAGCATTTTCAGCAGTGGGAGGGAGTATCACAAAGAGACGGGTGAGTGGTATTTCCAAATCAGGCATTTTACCTGGAGAGACACCTTTATTATGGGCGAGTGTTAGCCATGGAGACAGCTTTTATTTCAGGTAGGTTGTTGGAAAAGGTTAAGAAAAAAAACCCAAACTACTCAAAATATTTTTAGTGCCCTTAGGCTGTCACCTTGTACAAGGAGTCTTTCAAGATTAATGACATGAATGTGTGGCAGTTTGGCGAGATGCCAAGTGTGCTGTTATTTCTATTTCTGATAATTTAAAGTTACAAAAAAATGAAGTATGCCATTCAGAAAAGTCATACTTCATCCTCTTACATCCCCTGGGGTCAAGGAAATGACTATCATTTGCAGGAAAGATAGGAAGTGATTAAACTTGATATTTTATTGTATGAGAAAATTTGTCCCCAGGGAATTTTTAAATTGAAAGGAATACAAAACTTTGTGTTAGTTGAAGTAAATCTGAGCCTGCAGACTGTTTTTTTTTTCTGTAGAAACTATCTCTTGATAGTTTGAAATTTTGCTTTGAGAATGTGTCTTTGTTCAACAACTATTTTTGATAGTGCTAAAGGGAAATACTCTAGTATTGTATTATTTACCTACAACTAATAAGATTAAGTTAATATCTAGTGTTGTATCATAGGAGTGTTTTTGTTTGTTTGATTTTTTGTTTGTTTTGGTACCAGGGATTGAACCCAGGGGCACTTAACCACTGAGCAAACATCCCCACCCCTTTTTAATTTTTTATTTTGAGAAAGGGTCACACTAAGTTTCATAGGGCAATGCTTAAACACTCTGATACACTGGAGTGCCTTGACATTCTGTAAAAAAGCTTGGAACTCTAATTGGAGCTTGACCATAACTGAGCTCTGGATAATACTACTGTAGAGATTTTAACTTTTTCTAAATCTAATATTTCCAGAGTTTTATGCTTTTACTTACGTTTGCTGCACTTGTAAGAATAAACAAATACAGAAAATGCATTTATAATAAAACTTATTTTTGTAAAATTTATTTTTTGAATTAAAATATTGACAATTCACATTTATCAGTAATTTAATTTAAATGAAAACATTCCAAGGTACCCATGGACAACTATCAGTTTAATTACCATTTAAATATTTCTGCAATATCCATCAAATTCATTTTCAAACTTATTGTGTTCCTGTTTATCAAGTAATTGATAATTGATTTGTTGATGTTTTACACTGGATTTCCAAGGTATATTGGGAAATTGCCAAGATTCACCCAGAGATTGAGAACTTTTGATTGTTTATGCAGTGTATAATACCTCAATTATTTGATGTCATCTACATTGATGCTTATCTTATAAGCACTAGTAAGCACATTTTCTAGATAGCTTACTTCTCACACCATTAATTACTGAAAATTAAAAAAATAGCCATTAAATCAAATAAGCAAGTACTAAATGTTAATCTATTCTTGGATAATATTGGGTATGTCATTTTGTGGTGCTGGTTGTGTTTTCTTTATGAGCATGAATTCATAAAGAATTGAATAGTGCTATTGGTCGAGGTGTATAGAGCTGTTTTTGTTTATAGTGGATAGTCTGCCTGCAGGATTGAAATACTAGAATGGAGACAGAAGTACCATTCTTCTTTTTATGGTTTTCTGGGTCCTCTTTCTGTTATCAGCTATCACTTTCTACTGCTGTCAGGCTGTGAGCGGGCCCTGCTGCTATATTATCTGTTGTCTTTTTTTTTTTTTGCCATGAAATGATGTGGGCAGTTGCCTGAGTATAAAGCCTCTGGACTTTGTGACAGATACTTTCACATGCTTTATTTCTCTGCTAGCTAGTGAGCTGAATGGTTGAGGTTCCCAGAAGGGTGGCTTTTATATTCAAGATTTTAATGTGTTTTCAATAGAAATTCCTTTTTGTGTGTGAGGTTATTAGAAGAATATCCTAATTGTAGACAGTTCAGTTGTCTAGAAAACTCTTTGCTTTTCTGAGAAATTTAAGCAGCCCTTAAAAAAAGTCTGATTGTCTTTTTTTTCCTTTTAGAAATATGTATACTATATTTTATATGCTTCTTTCAGTCATTGAAAGTCATTAGCCCCATGTGGTATGGTTAATATCTCCCTGCCCTGGAAGCTATGCAGAAGTGTGTTTTGATAATCCTGTTACCCATACTGGCATTTTGCATATCTGTCTAAGGAGGAGCTACAAAATCAAATCCATTTGAATGATGTAGTGTAATTTAGTCTTGAACAGGGTGATAATATTATCTTAATCTGATGCATTTCACAAGCATTCATTCTTTGCTCCAACAAATGTTTATTAAAAAGCATACTGTGTAACCAAACGGGGGTGACACAAACGTGTAATCCCAGGAACTCAGGAGGCTGGGGCAGGAGAATTGAAAGTTCAAAGCCAACCTCAGCAATTTAAGGATGCGCTAAGCAACTTGGCAAGATCCTGAATCAAAAAAAAAAAAAAAGGTTGGGGGCACTGGGGATGTCTTTCAATGGTAAAGTACCCTGGTACCAAAAAAAAAAAAAAAAAAAAAAAAAAAAAATTCTGGTACTATGTGCCAGACTCTGTGCCCTGGAGATGTTAAGAGCCCAGGAAGGTTCTGGGTTTAAAGGGTGGGTAGATAGGAAAAAAGTTAGCTTCAATATGAAGCGCTGTGGCCAGTTGTTCATGGCAGCAGAAGACCCAAAAGGTTTCCTAGAAGATGACATAAAAGATGAATCAGTGTAGGCAGGAGTAGTATCACAAGGGGCTGTTTGTCACCCTCAGAAGTGTGGACCGTTTTCTGCTTAGGGTTGTTTTAAACAAGGTTATAATATGTTGAGATGTCAGTTCTTACAGCATCTAGAAGAGTGAATCTGAGGAGTGTAAGATAGGAATATCAGTTTAGAAGGTATTGAGGTGAATGTGGTAAGAAATATCACACCAAAAGCTTACTAATTGGATGAGGAAAAGGACTTGGTCACAAAGATATTCTAGTGATAGAGTCTCTAGAATTGTGATTGATTAGATGGGGGAAGTGGGGTGTCATAGGAGGATGGGATAAGAATCTTAAAGGAATGGCACATTTGAGGAGCAAGGGCAATAGAGTTAGATTTTGGACATGTAGAATATGAAATTCTTCTAGAAAATCCAACTGGTGATATGTGTCTAAGGAATCATTTCACAATTGTGAGCAGAGAGGTCCTGGGCTAGACAGTAGGTAGATAAAAGATGGATGATTGATGGAAGGATGGATGAATGGACTTATTTAGCAATATGTAGCACATATGTAATTGAAAACAATGAAAATTGATAGATTTTCCAGGGTAAGTACCAGGAGTTAAGACTATAAAGACCTGAGCAGATCCTGAAATTTGAGAGCTGGGTAGGTAAATAGGAAGCAGCAAAGAATGAGAAGATAATAAGAGAGGCAAGAGTGAGAATTAGGGGGAAACAGATTTTAAATAATTGAAGAAGGAAAGAATTTCAAGAAGAGTTCAGGTACTAAAAAGAGCAGTATTAAACAGTCCTGGTTCTGCCCCCAAATAGATTTGTTACCTTGGGCTTACAATTTAGTATCTTTTCCTCCTTATCTACAAAATGTGGATCATTACTTACTTAGTCATAGGGCTACTGAGAGGATCAATGAGAGAGTCTATCAAGCACACTGTCCAGAGGTTCGTGGTTTGTGTTCATAAATGTGAGATGTTTTTATGAAAGCAGGTTTTGGATTTTTAGTTAGGGAGCCCGTAGTAACTTTTGCTTTAAAAAAATGCTAGCTGTCAGGGTTCAGGAAGAGTGATTGAAAAGAGATTTTTGATGAAAACTTGATCCTATCTATAACCTTTTGGGTTAGAAGCCAGTAGACTAACAGCAATTGAACATTTTGAAAAGAAAACAAGGTCCTTATAAGAGAGAGAAAATAAATAAGGTCCTTGTAGAGAGAGTGGGAATTGCCTCCAGGGCTCTAGAGACATGGTGGGTTTCTGGAAGAAGACTCCACCAGCTTGGAAGGATTATTTTTTAAAGGGACCTGAATATTGAATAGTAGAAATTTTAAGCATCTTGTTTAAAGTATTCTTGGTGTTTTAAGTGCTCTAGGTCCTTAGATAATCTAATAAGGACATTGATTATTAATTTTAATGGATCAGAAAACGAAAGCAAAACAAAAGTACAAGACAGATGTTATCAAAACTTAACAAACTATAATTCAATATTGAATGATTCAGAAAATGCTTCCATATCTTACAACGTCTTAAAATTGACATTGTGAAAAGCAGTGATTAATGGGTGTAATAGAGGAAGTACTGATTCATAGAGATTTATTTGCTTCTTTTTTTTGATGGAGTCTACTTTAATAATATTTCATTATACCTTGTTTTAATCTTAGGATTTTCTCTATTTTGATGAAGCAATACTTTATATAAGTGACATACATCACAATGAGATTTCTATTTTCATATGCACATGAATATTTTACCCTGTAGTTAGTTGGTATTTTGAGAAAATGTTTACATCTATGAGCTGGTTTGTATATCAGCCAATAATTGAACACAGTGCATATTGGTTACAAATTGGTTGTAAGACATAATGACGATTAATTGGTTATGTTTTAATTCAAGTTAGTATTCTGTCTCAGTACATCCCATTGTTATTTATTGCTTATCATTTGTTTATATAGTACTTAGAGTAGTACATAGCTTTAGGAAACCCAATAAGTATTTGTCGAGTTAATGGAATTTGTTGTTCTATATTTTTAAGGTGACTTGCAGTCTTGATGTATGTGTCTTTATATTTGATCGTTTTCTTTACCTGAAATTCTCCAGCCATACTTTTGTTATCAGCAACTCTTCATGCTGCAGTGGAGTTTTGGTGCTTTATTTCCACCATGCTTACTACCTCACTACGTATGGTCCTCTTATTTGGAATTTGTAGCGATCCTGGAGGTGATTTTCAGTTTAGGATTTCTTCCAGTTCCATGGTGTATATGCATCAGTTCACTTGTTGACTATATATTGCCATGTTCAGCCCTGCCTTACAGAGATAAAAATACCATGAAGTCAGAATTCACCTAGTCAGGAGTCCCACACTTAGGTAAGCACATAGGAGTGTATAGCCAGTATAAAAATGGTAGTTTGGGATTTCCGAATGGTGGGTTATCTGAGCAGCCTAGGTCAGTTCCTATTTACAGTTTGGAAGTGTATGTAAGTTTTAAAACATTTAACTTAGGTGGGAAGAATGTATCGTATGAATATTGTAGAGACACTGTGTTTTGCTTATAGCTTTTTGCTATTTATCTGAATTTTAATGAATAATAATCAACATTGGCTTTATTTTAAAGGTATAGTCAGTTTCCACTGACTTGATGTACATAAGTCTGCAAGTATTTCTGTTCACTAAAAAAAAAAAAATTACACTTAGATCTAACTGATTTCTTGGGCACAGTGTCACACGCTTGGTAATTCTATGACTGTAGAGACTAAGACTATAGAGACTAGGAGGATTGCAAGTTCAAGGTCAGCTTCAGCAATTTAGTGAGATGCTGTGTCAAAATAAAAAAGAAAGAGGAGTGGAGATATAGCCCTGTGGTAAAGCACTCCTAGTTTCAATCTCCAGTGCCAAGAAAAAGAAGAAGGAAAATACAAAACAAAACAAAAAATGGATTTGTTAAATTTTTGCTTGATTTAGGAATAATTACATGATATGTGTAGAACTAATTTATACTTTCCAATTGTCTTGAAAAAAATTAATACTTGAAATATTTTCAAGATGCCAAGTCATAATTTTTTAGTTAGTATATTAGTTACAACTTGCTTTAATAAGCTGTGCCTATGGGACTAATTTTATTCCATGTGAGGTTTTAAGTTTAAATAATACATGCCCTTATGTTAAGAAAGTACAATCATTTATACAAATAGTTGGGTGGGCTCCGTAGCTGTACACCTGTAATCTCAGATGCTTTGGAGGCTGAGGCTGGAGGATCGCTAGTTCAAAGCCAGCTTGGTCAACTTAGCAACTCAGTCAGATCTTGTCTCTAAAAATACAAATAAAAACACACACACAAACACACACAGACAAAAGGGCTAGGTATGTGGCTCAGGTTAAGTGTCCCTGGGTTCAATACCTGTAACAAAAGAAAAAAAAAAGTTGTATATACTATAATGTTTCTGAAAAGTTGTAGAGAATTCAGTTTATATAAATAGGATCATAATTTTAAATTTTCAAAACACCTGAAGAAAATAGATCAAATACTTACCCCTTTTAAGATATAGGTGGTAGGCCAAGTGTGGTGGAACATGCCTATAATCCTGGTGACTTAGGGGGCTTTGGTGGGAGAATTTCTAGATTAACCAGCCTCAGCAACATAGACCCAAAGTCAATAGATAAATAAATAAATAGGGCTGAGGATGTTGCTCAGTAGTTAAAAACCCCTGGGTTTGATCCCCAGTAACAAAGTAAATAATTAAATACAGGTGAGCGTTTATAGATGTTTGTTAATCTTTTCTGCATGTTAGATATATTTTCCAGTTAAAATATGTGGATAGTGATTTTAAAGCATATTTTAAATATACCCAAGAACTTTGCTATGTAAAGCAATATGAAAGTAAATCTTTCCAAAGAATCCTATTTAGCTGAGCATAGTGATGCATGTTTGTAATTCGTAGCCTGTTCAGCGACTGAGACAGGAGGATCACAAGTTCAAGGACAGTCTCAGTAATTTAGGGAGACCCTGGCTCAAAATAAAAAAAAAATAAATAAATAAAAAAGAAGCCTTAATCCCTTGTACTAGGAAAAAAAATCCTATTTTGATTAATCTGTTTTGAAAATTCAAATTTTTACTCTGTTTAAGCCAACACCCACACACTCCCCCCCACCCCCACACACCATGACAAGAAGAATCATGGGCACCTGTATAATTACATTTTGGATATAGTCTCATTCATCATATTTTTAAAAACGTCACTTAAACACTTTATCTGATTCTACCTCATTCTCATCATAATATTCATAATTTAGAAGAGGAAGTCTTAAAAGCTTTTTTTAAAAATTTTTTTATTATCACTAATGGCACAACCTGTGCTATTACCTTACTGCTTTGAAAGCGCTCGAAGAGGGCAGTCAGAATGCAGCCTTCTTGATGAAGAAAGCCCTTGTGCTTTACATAGTTTTTGCATTTGTGCTGCTGTTCCTCTTGTCCAGTTGCTCTCAAAGAACCAATCAGGAGAGCAGGGCCTGAAGGAAACTTGTCCAACAGGTTTGCCTGTCCATTTGACAAGGCGAAATAGGGAAAGTTATGGATTAGGTCAAGGGTGAAAACATTTTAAGGAATATTAATGCCATTTTTGAAAATACGTTGTGGCTGTTTGTGAAAATGTGTCTTAACGGAGATAAATGAGAATAAGGAAAACTGGAAGGGGAAGGAAGAAAGGGAATAAGAGTTTGGTGGGGAGGCAGAAAGGAAATTAACAGTGAAGGGAAAAACAAAATTCAAGAAGGGAAGGTGTTTTAGTGTCGTAGTGGGGCCTTGTTTTAACTGGGTATATCATGCCAGGAAACCATAGTATTGACAGGATGTTATAACAGATACTTCCTCTCATCTGTGGTCTTAAGCATCCAAAATGGGGTACACCATCCCAAATCAGGGCTGGAGTGTATATACTACAAATTTTGGTGGGAAAATGTAGTTAGCTTCTCTGACACTAATTTCATCTCAGAAATACTCATTTCCTTTAAATCATAATAAAATGTTATATTCATGCAGATTTTTTTTTTCAGTTTGCAAATCTCAGTAATGTACATTGTGTGTTCTTATCCTCATTCTTCCCCTGAGCACTGTCCAGTAGTAGGTGTTAGCATTTTACAGACCCTGACATGGGCCACTGAGTTATTAAGTCATTTCCTGAGGTCTCCAGGACATGCCTGGGGGATTTAGTGTTAGGACCTAGGCTTCTTGATTAGAGCCCTGTGCTTGAGGTGCAGCTCAACTGCTGCCTCATTTTCTGGAATGTGAAGACCTTGACCTCACTGAAGTTACCTGTAGGTAACAGCTCTTCAGTCTGGTCCATCCTCTCACTCTTTTCTTACTTGAGATAAAGGGAAAGGTGTTTTAGTGTCATAATCCTCCCCCTAAACCCAGAAGGAAAAGCTTTGCCAAGTGGTCACACTCCACTAAAACTCAGGAGACAGTGTGGCAAAGGAAAAACAGGTTTTATTCAAAGCCGTCTCTGAGGAAGACAGAGGACTTTTTGTTTTAAAGCTCCATCTTCAGGGGGAAGGGGACTCAGGTGCTGAAAACTTGTGAAGGGGAAGGGAGTAGATTGGGACCCAAGGCAGGAATTTCACAAGGTTCACCCTTTTCCAAGACATTCTGGCCTTCCTGATCTTCAGGTCTCAGTTGTCTCCTTATCCTATCAAAGAGAACCTCAACCTCCAGCATCTGCATCTTCTTTTTAGATAAACTTGTTACCTTTTGATCTGAGGGAAGATGCATTGTGGAGGTCTTTCTTTAGAACTGAGACTATCCTGTCAAAGATGGAAGAGTAGTTTAGGGAATGGTCGCTGGGGAGGAGGCTGGTAAACTTTTGTTAAACTAATGCTTCCTCAGCCAGGCCCAGGGGCACAGGCCTGTAACACCTGTAACAAACTGTGCACAGGCACAGTTTGTGAGGCTGAGGCAGAAGGATTGCAAGTTGCAAGTTCAAGGCTTGTTAATCTTTTCTGCATGTTAGATATATTTTCCAGCAACTAAGTGAGGCCTTAAGCAATTTAGTAAGACTCTGCCTCAAAAAAATAAATAAAAAGTCCTGGGATTGTGGCTCAGTGGTAAGTGACCTGGCTTCAGTCCCTAAGAACAACAACAACAACAACAAACAAACCTCCTCAAATTGCTGTGCCATCCCCCTGTGCCAGCTGTAACAGTGCTCTTTTCCGGTTGTTCTTCTGCTCTTTCTTGGGCATTTAAAAGAACACCTTTGTCCCTGAGCCTCCACTCTCCTCTCTGTTCTTGCCCTTTAGGTGAGGTTATTCCTGCATCTGGGGTGGGTGTTGATTATAAACAGAGGAGCTACAGGTCTATCTAGCTCTAATTTCTTACCTGCTCTCTCAAAAGCTTCAAACTTAAATTTCCAGGCTCAGGTATGACCTCCCTGTTTGCATCAGTCTTCACGTGACAGATTTGGAGTTATTTTTGAGTTTACCCTCTGCCTTGTTGCTTGCTGCTACCTCTGGTTCTTAATTTGAACACCATCTTCTTCATGAAGAGCTCTTGCCTTTCTTAATCCGGTCCATCTATCATGTGCTCTTTGCACGCAGTCCCTTGTCACTTGACCTTGACTGCATTAGTGCCTTTTTCTCACTATTCCCTTGGCCTTGGATCTTTTCCCATTTGTCTGTTGTCTTTATTGCTGACCAACTTGCCTTTGAGTACCATTTGTCTGTGCCCTTCATTTTCACGTGGGGATCTGCAATCTTTAGCCTGGCCTTCAAAGCTATTATGTATCAGCTGCATTGGGAAGATCACTGCTTATTTATCTTATACCCCCAACAGGGTCAGGGTCACATTTGTCCCTTGGGACATATGCTTCAAGATATTCCCCATCCTGGGCAACTTTTTTTTTTTTTTTAAACTGGGGATCAAATCCAGGGGTGCTTTACCACTTAGCTACATGGCCCCTTTTTTTGTTGTTTTTAAATTTCACTTATATTTTTATTTTTGTGGCAGTAGGTATTGACCTATGGGCACTCTAGCACTGAGCTACAACCCTCTTTATTTTTTTTGTATTGAGACAGGGTCTCTCTAAGTTGCTGAGGGTGTCCTTAAATGGCTGAGTCTGGCTTCAAATGTGCAGTCCTCCTGATTTAGCCTCCCCAGTGGCTGGAATTACAGGCACTGCCTGATTACTCCAAAATGTTTTGACACTCAATTTTCACCTCACACTATTGCCTCCCAGTTTCTTTGACTTTCCTTTGACCTCCACTTTTAGATACTTTGATGGTTGTTTTAACACCTAATTCTGTTTATTCCTTCCTTATAAGGAGAGCCAGAACTCTGAAAGGGTGGAGTTTCCTTCTTTCCGCCCCCCCCCCCATATACCGCCTTGGGCAAACAGTGCTTATCAGAGATAAGATATTCAAACATCATTGAATGATATCTTTAGTTTTTCTCAAGATAGGCAAGGGAAGGTAGGGAAGTCCCCCAGTTTTCTATGTGTATTCTGATGCTTTCTTCATGATTTTTTTTAACCCCCCAATTGAATCATTCACACTTGAAAGGTTCTACTACTTTGATTTTAAATGAAATGTTGTATATATAGGAGCCACATATGTTATCCAGAAACTGCTGCATCATATAGTCACAAGGGAAACATCTGTGGAAAGGTCATGTTCTAGTTCAATGAAATTCTTTATTATACAATCATAATGTTTTCATAGAATTTTCTTTTGAAAATTCTGGGAGGTTTTTTTAAAATTTTTTTTTTAACTGGGGACTTTTAATAGATGAAAGTACAATCATTGCTAATTTTAGGTAGTTCTAATAAAAGGAAATAATGATGGTGATTAAGCATATTTAGTTTTTTGTGTGTGTGTATTTACAGTTGAATGCGCATATACCTGATGTCATAAAATAGTAGTTGGAGTGAAGAGTGATCACCCACAAGGACGATGACTTAGGAAGCTTTCTAACTACCTTGGGCCTATGTCCTATATTTATTTAAATCAATAAATTCAAAGCACCACCCCAGGCACAGTGATATATATATATATATATTCCTTCTCTGGGCTCAGTTCCTCCTCCTTTGGTAATTCTCGAAATTCTTTTGGTTCAGAAAGCCTCCTCTTTCATCTCTCTCCGGGCATAGAAGCAGGAGTGGGAATATAAATAAGAACACATTTTAAGAATTTTCCTCAGCAAAAATCAAAATAAAATAGAAAGAAAAGAAAGGCAGGAAGAAAAAAGAAACAAAATGGGAAAAGTGTCAAAAAGCAATGCTTTTGTGTTATTTGCCAGTTTTAGGTCATTCTTGAAGGTGTGGAGATGTAATTATGCTATTTTGATCAATTAGACTTTGAACATATGCTTTGAAATAAATTTTTTCTTCAGATTTCTTAACTATGCATCATACAGAACTTGCTTCCCATGACTATCCTATTCTCTCTTGCTTTCTTTTTCTCTCCTTGGACCTATCTACACTTCTGCAGGTAATGTTTCTATTTTTCTTAGGGATTCAGAGGCCAGATCCTAGTGATGGGCTTACAGATTGGTGGTGGGGCCAGGGATGTGGATGTGGGTTTAGAGAGCACTGGGATTTGCCCATCACTGAGGTGTGGTTATTTCAAACCATCCCCTATGGAGTTATTCAGTCTCAGTGGGGGCCCTCAATACTTTATGCTTTCTTGAACATTGTATTTTCCAGGAAAAGTATTTTAACTCATTTTAATATTACTTATATGCAAAATTATTCCTATTTGTACCCCTGTTGGCCTTCCCAAAAGGGTGTGGGAGGGGAAATATGAACCAGTAATATCTACAGCGTTTAAGACCTAATTCAGCCAATTCAACAAACAGCCAATTAATAATAAAACTCTTCTGCTTAGAGCGAAAATGCTTTGTGAATTTTTTAAATAGTATAAATATTTAAGGCTTTTTTAGCATAAACATTTAACAAGGTAAACCCATGTGATGGGGCAGGTGGGAGGCTGAGATAGGAGTATGGCAAATTCAAGGCCCTATAAAAGCAAAATGGGCTGGGGATGTAGCTAAGTAGTAAAACACCCCTGAGTTGAGTTCTCAGACACCCCCTCCAAAACAAAAACAACAAAAAAACAAGGTTTAAGAACATCTTTACTAAGACTTTTCTAAGGCTGCTATTTTGATTTATACATTTATTTAATTGATTCCAGAATTCAAGAAAATTTTGAACAATTTTCTGACATGGAAGTGACAACCTTGGGCTATCTTTATAGGGTACAAATGAGAGATCCAGGGTAAGGACCCAGGAAACTTGAGTGCTAGTTTCGACTCTGCCAATGAGTAACTATGAACTAGTTGCATGATGCTAGGCAACCACTCCCTAGAGACTTTGTACCTTTCTAACAAATGAGAAGGTTTATACTCAGTTATATTTAGGCTTTAAATTGTGGCTCTGATTGACTTTTTAAATGGAAATACTTTTTTTAAACATATTTCATATACT